CTGGGAGCCATACAAAACTTTGAAGAAGACGACAATAACAGTCGGGAGTCGCTGTCTCTGACTGAGTACTCATATTAATATTTTTATTGCAAGTGTAGTGATCTGACATTCAACAGTAATAACCCAAGGGAATCAAGAAAATTTAACAAGTGAAAGTAACTACTAAAACAACAGTTAACTATGTTAATTAGTAATCCCTTACTACTGAAAATAATTCTATTTTGCTTAACATAGCTTTAAGTTTTTTAGTTACAAATGATTTTTATAGGATAACTGAACAGTTTCCTAACAGCTGACATCTGTATATACCAAAAGAAATTACTTGCTAATCCATCTTGAATCCTACTTCCAGTTTTACTGCAGATTATTTTGATGTCATTAAGCTTACTTCTGCCTCAGTAAAAGAGGAGATAAGTATTTCTCATTGCCTAGGTATATGTTTGTGCAGAGTTTTAAAGATGTGAGATACTTACATCAGGTAGTCCTCATTAGTTGTACCTTTTGGTTTCTAAATGACTTTGTTTACATTTTGTTTCTAACCATGCTACTTTTCATTTTCAGTATCTATGATGAAGCTGCTGAAAGTCTGCATCAGTTAGCTGATAAACTGCCTGCCCCAGGTAATCTCTCTTTAAAAAGCAATCCCATTGGAGATTGTCTTCTTAGTTATTACTCTAAAAACTCATGTGGTAAAATCATAGTCAAATGAAAAAGTTCAGAGGATGTTAGTTTGTTAGCTGAATTAAGCTCTTGCAGGTAGTTAAAGAACTTGAGCATGGTTGGCATTGCAAATCAGCTTATGGACTAGTTTGCTGCTTGTTTCTTTGGAGGGCTCTATTTCAGTAGAGCTTAAGGTGTATATTTATATAATTAATTTTTCCACCTCCACCCTCATCGCCCACACAGAAGTAGCTCTGCAGCGTTTAACATCCTGCTTTGCAGAGGCTGCTGAGCTTTTTGGTCTGGAAGTCAGCTTGAAGAAGACAGAAGTTTTATATCAGCCTGCACCTCAGGAAGTCTTCCATCATCCCCATATCACCATTGGTGAAACAGCACTCAAATCAGTCCAACAGTTTAATTACCTGGGAAGCATCATCTCCTCAGATGGTAAGACTGATGCTGAAATTGACAACAGGTTAGCAAAGGCATACAGTGCTTTTGGTAAACTCCATAAAAGAGTGTGGCAAAACAAACACCTGAAGAAAAGTACTAAGATCAGTGTTTACAGAGCCATCGTGCTGTCTGCTCTTCTATATGGTTCTGAATCACGGGTCATTTACCGCCACCACTTGCGTCTCTTAGAACGCTTCCATCAGCGCTGCCTCCGTACAATCCTTAACATCCACTGGACTGACTATGGGACCAACACATCTGTCCTTGAACAGGCAGCAGTCACAAGCATTGAGGCCATGCTGCTGAGAACTCAGCTGCGCTGGGCAGGGCACGTCTCCAGGATGCAGGACCATCGCCTCCCTAAGATCGTGCTTTATGGGGAACTTGCCACTGGCTGCCACAAGAGAGGAGGCCTGAAGAGGAGATACAAGGACTGCCTGAAACAATCCCTCAGCCTTGGCCATATCGATCACCATCATTGGTCTACTCTGGCCTCCAGTCGGGAGGCCTGGAGGCACACCATCTATAACGCTGCTGCTGCTTTTGAGAACACACGCAGGATCACTCTCGAGGAGAAAAGACAACGCAGAAAGAATTGCGTCTCGTCGATATCACCTGGGGAGTCTTTCTGCTGTGCCTTCTGCAACCGGACTTGTCTATCTCACATTGGCCTTTTTAGCCATCAGCGCGCTTGCAGCAAGCGTGGGTAGAGCCCTTCTCAAATCTTCGTTTGTGAAGCCTAGCCATGAATTTTTCCACCTGAAATGACATCAAAGTAGTAATAGACAATAAGCAACACAAAACTCAACAGGAAGTTTTTTATGAAAATAAAGGAAGATGTTGTTTTCAGGCTTACGTCTGAGTTGCCAGCTGACTGCTTGTGGGGGGAAGTCAAGAAACTGAGAAGGAAAATATATCAGAACTGTTGGATTTAGACTTTGCAAACTGGAAATAAGTATCACCTTGCAGGTTAGAGTTACATGATGTTGCAGTGGTTGATTTGGGATAGCAAAGGAATGTAGGAAGAATGAGAATCATAGAATCATTAAGGTTGGAAAAGACCTCTGAGATCATTGGGTCTAATCTTTGAGTAAACACCACCTTGTCAACTAGACCATGTCACTAAGAGGCATGTCCAGTCTTTCCTTAAACACCTCCAAGGATGGTGACTTTTCCACCTCCATGGACAGTCCATTCCAATATCTAATCACCTTCTCTGTGAAGAAATTCTTCCCAATGTCCAACTTAAACCTTCCCTGCTACAGCTTAAGACTATGTCCTCTTGTCCTGTCACTAGTTGCCTGGGAGAAGTTGCTTAGTGCCAAGTGCCCCCTGGCTACAACCTCCTTTCAGGTAGTTGCAGACAGTGAGCCAGTCTCCTCTGAGCCTCCTCTGGGCTAAAGAACCCCAGCTCCCTCAGCTGCTCCTTGTAGGACTTGTGCTCCAGGCTCTTCAACAGCTTCATTGCCCGTCTCTGGACTCGCTCCAGCACCTCAGTGTGGCCTCCTGAACTGAGGGGCCCAGCTGGACACAGGATTTGAGGTGTGACCTCTCAGTGCTGTGAGAAATAGCAGATTAGAGTGCTAAAAGGAGGGAAGTGAGATAGTATGGGGGCAACTCTCATCTGTCAGTGCTGAGTGAGAGAGGAGAAAGGTATAGAACCACTGTCACTGAGGGAATGGCAAAATGTTTTGTGTTCATCTAAGAGGAGCAGCAAGAGATGAGCTAAAAATGCGTGGAAAGTCTTTTAGATCTTGCCAGAGTTACTTGAAGCTGATATTTTAGCCCATTTTGATGCAATCAGTGATAAGCAGAACTTCTCTATCTTTAAATGATTGAATAATTTACGGAGCCATGGTACTTTGAGTAATCTATAACTGTTTTTTTAGGCAGAGCAGTGGTTGATGTAATACTGCAGGCTGTTGAACGAGATG